AAGGCCGCCTACGCTGCCCAATGGGCTCCAGCGTTCAGGGACAACGGCCAGTCGGTTTCCCCCTGCGATTAACACCAACACCAATGTTGAGAATAGTGCGATTGGACAAGGGAACAAGACGCCCTCTCCAACACGGGGGAGGCCGTTACCTAACCCAGCTGGTGGTTCGGGTACGTCTGCGGCGAGTAGGAGTCAATTCCCGAGTTCGCCTGGGTCTGGATTCACACAGAGTGCGGTCGTCCAGCCTCCTTCGGCGGGTCAAGGAATGAAGAGGACGCCGAGTCCTGTGAAGGCACCCCCTGCTTCTTCCTCTTCGTCGTTGTTTGGGAACACTACTCCGTCGCCTACGAAAGCTACTGCCAATACACAATTTAACACTAATCCCAATGCGAGTCAACCATTATCGAGGACGACGACACAAGCTCAGCAACAACAGGCGGCACCAAAGAGGCGCGCAAGTCCTCCGAGGTTCACACCCGGGCAGGGGCAAGGGAGTCCTACTAAGGAGGTAGGCGGTTTGCCTAGCCCCATTGCTTCGAATTCGTCGTTCAGTTTGAACTCCACATTTCCTTCGTCATCCCAATCTGCGTCCACCGTCCAATCCACCGCCCAATCCACCACCCAATCCACCACCCAACCCAAATCCCAATCCCAATCCACCACCGCTCCTCCTTCCCAGCCCCAGCAATCCACAGCTGGTAACGCTTCTCCACCCAAGAAATTCACCCCAATCTGGAAACGCACGCTTCCAGACTATCCACAGCCCGCATTTGGGTATGCGGCAGGGATGGTGAAGGATCCGTGGGCGACGCCCGTATCACCTGGAGGTATTACTCCGGGTGCTGCAAATGCGACTACGCCTGGGGTGCAGAGGGCTCCTGTATCTCCAGGGCGAGGACCAGCTGCAACTGGACAGGCGGCTGCAACGCCTGGAGGTCAGATGAAGCAAAGTCAGATTGGGTATGGGTTTCCGCAACTTCCACAGCAGCAGCAGCTGGTGTATGCTCAACCGCCTGCGGTGTATGGTGTTTCTCCTTCTCCTCCGAAGGTGTGTTTTCATTTACTCCTTTATTAATATGTGAAGCTAATTACTGAACATATTAGGGACATGCAAGAGCAGGAGCTGGATACGGACAATACCCCCAAGAAGAGGATGAGGACGAAGATGAGGACGATAGCGATGAGGAGACGGAGAGTGATGTTACAGAGGAGAGCGAGGAGAGTGAAGAAATTTATGATCAACGACAACGTGGTGGAAAGGGATATACCCAGAACAGCAAAAAGTCGAGTTCGAGGTATGCGGAACCGGAGCCAAAGAAGAGAACCCCGTTGAAAGAAGGAAGAAGTCCACGTGAGCGTGAGCGGGAGAGAGAGAGAGCGCTGGTTAAGAAGGGAAAGCTCCCTGAACGCGAACGTGATCGGAGAAGAGTGTACGACGAGGATGAGGAAGAAGAAGAGACTCCTCGAAAGCGTAGATCGCCTGATAAACGCGGATCTCCAGAGAAGAGGGGATCGCCTGAAAAGAGAGGGTCTGCGGAGAAGAGGATTGTGCGTAGAGCGTATTCACCCTCGCCGTCTCCGCCTCTTCGGGGGAAGAAAGGAAAGGGGCGTCCCGCACCGAGTCCACAGTGGGGGATTAAGGATCTGCCGAAAGGGAGGAGGAACGATGAAGATCCTGATAGCTATGAAGAGGAGGAGGAGTATGGAAGAAGGAGGAAGTACGCGGAGGATAATGATGAATCGGAGGAGAGGGGATACGTGAAGAGAAATGGGAAGAGCGCAATGGAGCGGGAGAGAGAGGCGTTGGAGAGGGAAAGAGAGGAGCTGGAGAGGGAAAAGGAACGAAAGACGATGGAGATTGAGAGGGAGCGTGCGAGGCTGGAGAAGGAGAGAGAGAGGTTGGAGAAGGAGAGAGTCAGGGAGAGAGAGGAGAGAGAACGCGAACGGGAGCGGGAGAGAGAGGATAGAGAGCAGGAAAAGGCGTTGGCTGCTCAGTTCTCGGCATTCAACGTCAACAATCGCAATGCGAGTAGAGCTACAGGAAGCAATGGATCGACTTCACCTACGAAACGGACACCTCGTCGTGGGGAATCGTATGCCAAGGAATCACCTTCTCGAATGGTTTCTAGGCGGGATGACTACGATTTGGATTATGATTCCTCGCCTACAAGACGCCAAACAGGAGCTGGAGCTGGAGGAGGATACTTTGATGGCTATGGAGCTGGAAACCAGCCTCAACGCCACCAACAACACCAACAGCACCCAAATAACAGCATGCCTCCTCCTGCTGAAATTCCGCGGAAAGTGGCTGGAGAGTTACGCCGTACGCGCGTTGAACTGAATTTGGACGATTCTCCACCTCGCTCGATTCGTTCTCCGTCTCCTGCACACAGTGCTATCTCCTCTGGGAGTGGAGTGAGTGGGATTAGTGGAACTAGCGGTAGAAGAGCGCTCCCACAGCCGGGGATGGCGCATGGAAGGCCTATATCGCAAAGTAGGCCCGTTTCGCAAGGGATGTATGGGTCCGATGCTGGGGGTGGACAGCTGGAGAGACGAAGGTCCTTGTATTCTGCAGGGTCGCAGACTTCAGACGTGGAGAGGGATAGGTCGAGGTCGAGACCGCAGAGTCAAATTTACGCCGGCTCGCCTCAACAATCGATGCAGGGATTCTCACCGCAATTAGATCAGCAGCATTATGGTCTTCCACAGCAGCAGCAGTTCCAGCAATATGCTCCTCAACCTCAACATGCACCTCTCCGTGGACATCCATTAGAGCGTCATGCGAGTCAGCACCAGCAGATATATGCGCATTCGACTGGTTCCCCACAGATGCAGACACAGACTATCACTATCGAGTCTCCTGCGCCAGTTGGTGGGCGGGATAAGAGAGCGGATATTTCGCGTATGGAAGCAGAGGGGAGTGACCAAGAAGATGGCCGACGCGGGCGATCGAGCAGGTTGCAGAGCCGGGCTGCGAGCAGAGTGGCGGCTCCGAGAATCAACGTGGACCCATCCCCTCAGATACCAAGGATTAATATCGATTCATCACCTCAAGTGCCTGGGATTAATATCAACGACGAACCTAGAGGCCCAATGATTAGCGTTGATCCTCCGAGGATTAATGTTGATCCCCCGCAGACCCAAGGACCGGTGATTAATATCGATCCGGCACCGCAGATACCACATATTTCATTCGACTCCCCGCAAGGACCGAAAGTTAACGTCGATCCTCCAACGCAGCAACAGCAAGCACCAAGAGTACAGGTGTATGAGGTGCCAGGAATCAGCGTTGCGGGGCCTGGGTATGACGACCATGATGGACGTGGCTCGCAGCCTCATTCACGTCCGCAGTCGCAGTTTTCTTCTCATCCACCTGTTGCGAGGGGTGGGCTGATATGTGGCGGGTGTAATGGTGCGATTATGGGTCGGATTGTGAGTGCGATGGGTGCGAGATGGCATCCTGCTTGCTTTAAGTGTACAGTTTGCAGTGAGCTGTTGGAGCATGTGAGCTCGTATGAGCATGAGGGGCGGCCCTATTGTCATCTAGATTACCATGAGGTATTTACGGTTTGCTTCTTTGCTAGTCATAAACTGACCGTGTTTCGGATTAGAACTTCGCTCCTAGATGCTATTCATGCAAGACTGCGATCATCGAAGAGCGCTTTATCAGTTTAGATGATCCAGCTCTAGGCAAGCGTTCGTATCACGAACAACATTTCTTCTGTGCTGAGTGCGGAGATCCATTCCTCTCTCCTTCATTTACTGCAAACGGTAAGCCGAGCACCTTCAGTCGCTTACTACTTATACTGATCTTCCGTATAGAAACTGGAGAAATGACACTCGGCGGGGATGGCGAGTTCGAAGGGTTTACCGTCTACAAAGGCTACCCATACTGCGAAGCTTGCCATGTAAGATTACGACTTCCCAAGTGCAAACGATGCAAGAGGAGCATTCGTGATCATGAACAAGCTGTAGAAGCACTGGGAGGCAAGTGGTGCTGGAGCTGTTTCGTTTGTGCTGTAAGTTGTTTTGCCTCACTATTCCGACCTCCCAGAATATTAAGGCTGTTTTCAGAGCTGTGAGAAACCTTTCGATGATCCCTCCTTCTACCAGAGAGGAGATAAACCTTACTGTGAAAGTTGCTTTAGTATCATGGTTCGGAATGAAGTTTAACTACAAGATGGACTTTCGCTTTCAATAGTACTATGTAAGTTTAATTATAACACGCTTTCTTGTATTCCTTGGACGCTCCTAATGCATCCGCCTCCGTACTGATATTTATCAGACGCTGTACTTTGGAAAATCATATTTATTGATTAGGTGCAATTATTGTATCACATTTTGTTATATACTTTATACTATACACTTGTAGAATAATAAAAATTTCCGCAGCACTATCTTATATTGTAGTATCATGTTTGGCACCCAACCAAGGTCTCCGATTCACACTGCCCCCCGTCTATCAGTCCATGAACAAGGAGGTTATTATCATCGCTGTCTTCTCTGCGTATTATACCAACAAGAAACGGTCATTAGGGTTTTGGTATTCGCCGTCATAATGAAGATTATCCACGAATCTTGGCCAGAATTCGCTTGGCTGTAATATTAGCTACGCGCTACAGGCATTTTAAACATCCTTCGGTAACTTAAAATACTTACGTAGTGGCCATATTATAATTTACTTCTTTTTGCGTTCATGGCTCAAGGAGTCACTACAGCATTTGAACTTTTTGGCAAATTTTCGCTGACGGCAACTCGCGAATCAGAGCGGGCCGTCAGCGAGGGCCCAACACGGATACTCATTGCGGTAACCGTTGTTCATTCTCATCAAGGCTAATACATGGTGTGGTGCCTACTACGACTAAGAAAACCGATTTTTATTCCCGGATAGACACGTACATTCTCTACAACATTGCAACTCATTATCAGCCTTTCTATTGGTTCGGAACATTTCTTCGTGTAAATGTCGATATAATCAACCACTCACACCGTTAAAATATTCAGATGTAGTGTAAAGGGAACACAATGGTTCAGATTTGTAGCATAACACCCATGGAGGTACAAATTTGAAAGCCATCAGTCCAGGTTCGACTCCTGGCGTCTGAATACTTCGCTGTTGATCATGATAATCATTTTACCCGATTTTCATTTTCATTCTAAGGCCTTAAAGCATTAACAAATCGGCAATGATTTTGGTCACATTCGGGTATATGTTGGTGGCTTTTGCGTTCGTGAAGTCCACACAAGACAAACCCATCTACTCACTGTACTCTAATACCGAGAAATAGTGTAATGACTAACACGACCACTACTAATAAGTAACTTACGACGCTATCAGCATCACGCGGGAAATCCCGGTTCGATTCTTGGTATCCCGAATAAACGTCACTGCTTACTGTGAAGTTGAATCTGTTTTACAGAACCGTAAAACAAGTGACATTGTATATACCATGCAGTGAAGAATATAAACTTATTTTTCACACTAAAATGAAGATACACAGTCTATTCCAAGGATCCTATAAATTCGGATGTGGTGTAAAGGTAACATGATGGCTAAAATTATTACAGAGCCTTTGCAGCCTATAAGCCATCGATCCAAGTTCGACTCCTGGCATCCGAGTACTCCCATTTGAAAGTTTCTTTTTCTTCTAGATACACCGATTTTCATACTACGAACCAACTTTCCGTGTACATTTTAAGTTCGGATGTAGTGTAAGTGCAACATTGTGGCTCTGAGCCAGAAGCCACTTTAAAAATATCTAAAATTTAAGCCGCTAATCCAGGTTCGACTCCTGGCATCCGAACATTTCGCGCATGTGCGGAATAAGTTTCTTTTCCTCTACAAAGAGACTATGAAAATAACCCTTACCTTGTACACTACTATAAATTCGGATGTGGTGTAAAGGCAACACTGCGGTTTAAAGTGAGGACTTCTCTCGTGCCTTAAAGCTGTCAATCCAGGTTCGACTCCTGGCATCCGAACATTTCGCGCATGTGCGGAATAAGTTTCTTTTCCTCTACAAAGAGACTATGAAAATAACCCTTACCTTGTACACTACTATAAATTCGGATGTGGTGTAAAGGCAACACTGCGGTTTAAAGTGAGGACTTCTCTCGTGCCTTAAAGCTGTCAATCCAGGTTCGACTCCTGGCATCCTACTTGCATGAAGTTCTATATGCCTTTTTCTTTTATGTGTTAAGGCCAATCATTGTACCTTCAATTATTTCCCCATATACGATATATATTCAGATGCGGTGTAAAGGTAACACGGTTGCTCAAAGTCGGAGTGTCTGTTTCCAATGAAGCAATCGATCTAGGTTCAACCCCTGGTATCCGAATATGTACGCATAAGTGAGAACAATTCTATCTGGTTCGAGAACATTATAAACTGAATTTTTGTGATATAAAACAACCAGAGTAGTATGTAATTGGATTGAAGGACTGACGAATACTATTTAAAAAGAAGCTAAAATAGATCGGCATTCATAAAAAGAAAAAAATGAACTAAAAATACACCATGCAAGACAGACAAGACATCCATTCGTCGTGTGTACCTAAGATTGGAAAGTGAGATAGAAGCATCGCAGTGTTACCTGAGGCTTGCGCGGAACTGTGGGATCACGACAATCGCAAACCGCAAAAGCGCGATATCGACGGCAAATATGCATCCCTGTTTCAAATTAGTGCATAGAAAATGCCAAGTGCGAGTGCAATTGATAGATATGCAGTTATCTTTGATAAGCTGTAATAGATAGGTAGCCTTTCCCAAGTACTCTCTATAAACTCGATGTGGTGTAAAGGCAACATACTGGCTGAAGTTGTGGGTCATTCAGTGCAACCTAAAAGTCATTGATCCAAGTTCGATTCCTGGCATCCGAGTATCCACAAACTCCCGTTCAAGAATTTCTTTTTCTTTCTAGATACACCAATTTTCATACTATAAGCCAATTTTCCATGTACAGTTTAAGTTCGGATGTGGTGTAAGCGCAACACTGTGGCTCTGAATCAGCCATTTTAAAAATAACCGAAAGCCATTAATCCAGGTTCGATTCCTGGCATCCGAACATTGCGTGCAGGGCAAGGGCTGCGATTGATAGATGTGCAAATATCGTCGATAATCTCTAATGGATAGATAGACGAGTAGGAGGAAATGGGATGAGAGTAATAGCTTAAATTTGAAAACCATCAGTTCAGGTTCGACTCTTGGTATCTGAATAGCTGTTGACGATCATTTCACCTGGTTTTCATTTTCATGTCAAGGTCTTAAAATATTGACGAATTAATGATGCTTTTTTTCAAAACATTCAGGCACATATTGGTGGTTTCAACGCTATTTGTGTTCGTAAAGTCCAGACAAGACAAACCCATCCATCCGCCTTTCCCTAATACCGGGATATGATGTAATGACTAGCACTGTCGCTTCTAATAATGCTCTCAGCATCTACGCAGAAAATTCCGGTTCGATTCTTGGTATCCCGAATAAACGTCACTGCTTACTGTGAAGTTGAATCTGTTTTACAGAACCGTAAAACAAGTGACATTGTATATACCATGCAGTGAAGAATATAAACTTATTTTTCACAGTAAAATGAAAATACATAGCCTTTCCCAGGTTACTCTATAAACTCGGATGTGGTGTAAAGGCAACATGGTGGCTAAAATTAGGGACTATCAACGCAGTTAAAAGCCACTGATCCAAGTTCGATTCCTGGCATCCGAATTAGTATTCCCCTTTGATAAAAGTTTTTTCTTCTATATACACTGATTTTCATACTATAAACCAAATTTCAATATACACTTTAAGTTCGGATGTGGTGTAAGTGCAACACTGTGGCTCTGAATTAGAAGCCTTTTCAAAAGTAACTGAAAGCCGCTAATCCAGGTTCGATTCCTGGCATCCGAACATTTCACATCGAGGTCAGTTTTCTTTTCCTCTACAAGGGTACAATGTACATAACCCTTACCTTGTACACTATAAATTCGGATGTGGTGTAAAGGCAACACTGCAGTTTAAAGTGGGCAATACACCTTAAGCTTTAAAGCTGTCAATCCAGGTTCGACTCTTGGTATCCGACTTCATTAGTTCCCGTGAATCTTTTACTTTCATATACTAACACCAATGATCATGCCGTCAACCATCTTACCATGTACAATGTATATTTGGATATGGTGTAAAGGCAGCATGGTCGCTCAAAGTTGGGGCTTCTGTTTCAAATGAAGCAATCGATCCAGGTTCGACCCCTGGTATCCGAATATGCTCACGTATGTAAATGGGAACAATTTTATTTGGTTCACGGATCTTATAGACTCAATTATCGAGATATAAAACAACCAGGGTAGTATAGGATTAGATATTTGAAGGGCAGACGAATGCTGTTTAAAAAGAAGCTAAAAATAGACGAGCCTTCACCAAAAAGAAGAAAAAAAAGAACTAAAAATACATCGTGCAAGACAGAGTTAAGACATCCCTTCATCGCGTGTATCTGAGATTGGAAAGCGAGATAGAAGCATCGCAGCATAACCTGGACGTGTCGTGCGAGATCAGGACAATCGCAAAGGGCAGCATTGATGGCAAATATGTATCCCTGTTTTTAGTGTACCGAAAATGCCAAATGCGAGTGCAGATATCGTTGATAAGCTCGAATAGATAGACGAGTAGGAGGAGATGAGATGAGAGATGAAAACATGATAAAGCAAGTGATTTGAATGCAGATGGAATGAACAGTACACGGAAGCAGGACATTGCAGACAAAGAGAGGGAGGATAAGGAGAGCGAGACGTGCAAGTAATCGTGGGAGCATAAGACGAGTAGGTGGGTACGAGGACGGAAAGGGAGGCAAAAGGGAAAGGGAAAGGGACGGTAGAGAAAGACAAGAAGAAAAAAAGAGATACAAGCATTGCAATCGCAAGGAGTCGTCTGCTACAGCTGTCCCTCCCACCCGTCGCTCCCGTGCACCTTTTTACCCGGTTTCTCTTCCTCTTCCGACGCATGTATTCCGACCATTGACCATGCACGCTTCCATCCGCCGTTCCTTCTACCACCCCCGCAACACCATCGCCTCTATACCTCACCCTCATCCACTCACAAGCCTTCATTCCCTTCTTCTAATCCAAGCTCGCCTTCGCATCCGCTTCCACATCAAAGTTCTCCACCAAATCAGGCACATCGTCATCATCTTCCTCCTCTGGGGCGTTGCCCCCGCGCTGCTGGCCCTGCTGGATGGCCTGGTACGATTCGGCGAGCTTGCGGAGGGAAGCGAGGGAGTCAGGGCCGAGCTGGTTGAGGATGCCTGGGACGAGTTCGGTCAACTCCTTGACGTGGCCGGTACCGTAGATGGCGAAGGTGTTAGCAGAGACGGCTGCGTGGACTGATAGAGTATTATATATATATTACTTTCTGTCAGTAACGCGTTAGAACGCGCAAAGAAGGAAGTGAGACGCACCCTTGGGTGCTGTGAAATGCAAGACATTGCCATCCTCCTGGAACATGTTGACCTCCTCCACACCTGGGATGGGCTGGACATTGAGTTTTTTGAGTGCACCTTGGAGCTTTTTGTCGTCTTGTGCAGCCGAGGGCTTGGCCTTGCGCACGATTTTTCTGCGCACGGTTCCTTTTCCACCTGCAGATTATTTGGTTAGTACGCGTAAGCAGAGTCTTACGTCTTGCCGTTGGGCGTATCACTTACCGATCCTGTTAGCAGCAGCAGCGGCCTGGAGTTTTGCCAGTTTTGCGGGGTCCATGATTAGAGACGGAGGCGGCGTGGGATGGAGGGACTCGGAGGAGGACGCTGCGGGGGTCGGCGGGCTCGTGGGGTTCGTTGGTGAAAACACAATTTAAGGTTCATTCACAAATACGCGCATACACGACAAGATTCAGCCACCGCTTGGGCGCGGGCGCTTAGATGATTGTAACTCACTGTTGCTGCTCACCACACTCGAAATGTCCTACCACATACGCCCAGCAACGCCTGATGATGTGGTATGAAGTACGCCGTGCAACTCCTCGCGTCCCTCCCCTCTGAGCATTGCATCCGTTTAGAACACCATCCTGCAGCTTATTATCGATCTTGTATGTGCTTCACCACTTTCCTTCTCTACTAACTAATAACGCGATGCAGGCAACATACGAGAAGGAACCCGAATCAGCCAAAGCTACGCCAGAGTTGGTAAGCCTTCCGTTCTGTCCGCCTACTTTCTCGAATTGAAGGGAGTCTACTCCTTGACAGCTCCGTAAGAACCTCTTCGAAACACCGTACGCACACGCCCTGCTCGCATTCGCCGGGCCTGCAGACACACCTGGGGAGCCTATTGGCTTTGCACTATACTTCTTCAACTACTCAACATGGACAGGTAGGCCTGGGTTATACGTGCGTCCTCCTTCTCCCTCCTACTGACAAGTAATTCTCACCTGCTGCTTACCAACCGTTCGCTCTTTTACAATTCCCGGCCCTCCCATCTTCGCGTCTTCCGCCTTCTATCTGATTTTCCCACTGTACTACTGGCTCTGTGGCATCATCATCGATTAAATCACGCGCTCTATGAACGCGCACGGATGGTAACACTACAGTTAGAAGACCTCTACGTCAGCCCCGAACACCGAGCACACGGCGTCGGCAAGGCGTTCTTTGGCCATCTAGGCAAGATCGCGCAGGAGAAGGTGTGTTTTGTGCCTTATTTTTCGTCTTATTCTTCATTTGTTCTCTTTGGGGCACGACGACATGAATAGCTTCTTGAAGGCGACGCGTCTACGTTCTTAAAGTCAATGCGTCTTTCCTCTCCGTGTTGATGCATCTCGCCCCGTCTTCGTATACGATAGGTTCGGACGTTGCACAACTCGATATCAAGCATTACCCGTCTGCAAATCATAAGGCTGTTCGTTTAGAATTGCTGGTAGACGCGTTGGAGAGTCGACGATAGACGCGCCATTCGATGGCAATATACCCCCCCTCCTTTCATTGGTGTTAGAATCGCGCCTCCAGACGCGCTCATTACTATTTCTTTATCACATCCTTGCAAGTCTGCGTTCATGTTGATACTCACACATGAGATTCAACGCGTCTTCCTTCCCTTCCTCCCCTCCCTGTCTCCGCAAATCCCACTAACTCCCACCCCGCCCCCTCCCCTCCTTCCTCACAGAACTGTGCCCGCCTCGACTGGTCCGTGCTCAAATGGAACCAGCCCTCCATCGACTTTTACGAGAAGCGCCTGGGGGCGACGCCCATGACGGAATGGATGGGTATGCGTTTGGAGGAGGAAGGCATCGAGCGGCTCAAGGCGTTCATCGTCTGAGGGGGGGTTGGGGAACGGGATTCGAACTGCCCGGCACAGGGATGTGCATTGAGGAGGATGGAGAGGAGGAGCGTATGTATGTATGATCATTCGAGGAAAAGGTGAAAGGAAAGGAACGGGACGAAGACCCTTATGGAGCACCGCTTCCTAGCCTGCTCTTACGGACTAACTTGTAAAATATCTGAATCCTGAAACAAGAAATGTAATCCATATTCCCATTGTATACGAGTAAAAGAAAAAGGAACGAAAAAGAGAAAGGTATGATGTGGGTAAATTCTCTATCTATAGCCAGATGTCAGACACCATCGTAGCTCGCTCCTCCGGCCTACAATGTCCGTTGTTTGGGGGTGGTGATGGTAAGGTGGAGGACAAGGTGGACATTTGATGATAGGTTCGAGGTCGTAGATTCGACAAGGAGGCGTCGAGCGGTTTTCAAGTCGTAGGCGGCCAGGCGGGAGCGGCAATAAAGAAAGAAAGAACAAAGCAATAGTTCAGTCAGCAAAAATGCCATCATCTATTCACTACCCCATCCAACAAAAAAAGAAAAGAAAAAAAAGAAACGCACCTTCCTCAGCCGCACCACGATGGGACCCTCATTCACATCGTCCTTCTCCTTCGCTGCCACCTCGATCGAGAACACCCGTAACACGGCTTTGACGTCTGCTGTATGGACGGAGATCTATGCGAAAGAAGGCGCGTGAGTTGTGGGGGTTTCTAGAAAATGGTACATGAAGGGAGAAGAAGGGAAGTAAAAGAAATAGGAACGGGGAATAAGCTGGGGTAACGAAGGTAAGTGGAGCAAAAGCTAGGACACGGAGCGGGAAGGTTCTGGGAAGAGAAGAATGGGATACTAAAGAGTAAGCGTTATGGCGGAAGAGAAGGAAGATTGGTAAGGGAAGAAGGCGTTGGGTTTTCCAGAGAATAAGAGTTAAGTTACGATGTTTTCGGAGTGCATGGAGGGAACGAGAACTCTTTCCGCAACGAAGGTGAAGGTTTCCGGTTGTGAACGCGCGGGGAAGAGGTAAACATAAGTGCACGGATACAATCAAAGAGGAACGCGGAAAAGTAAAAGTAAAACAAACGGTGATGGGGAGGAGGGTATCACACGGGCGAGTGAGCGAGCGGAATACGTACCTTGGCTTTACGCATGACTTTGCACTTGGAGCCTATCCAGACCTGCAAGAATTGGGGGGGTGGAAGTTAGTATTAGTTTCGGTCCGGTCAAGATAGAATACCAAAAGGAAGAAGAGTGAAAGAGAAGAAGCAGTAGAATCCCACGACAACGCGTAACAACGGGGTTTACGACACAACACACACACCACCTGCCTCTCCTCCCCCAGGCTAAACCAAAAAATCAAAACACTCACCACCAAGATAAACTTCTCCCTCTTGCTCTCCTTATCATTCGAATACGACACGCGGACATACCCATAGGACGCCTTGGAGTCGTCGAGGACCTCACGCAGCTCGTCGAGCCCGCCAGTGCCAGTCTGGGTGAGCTGGAGCTTGTCGGACCGGTCAGACTCGTAGTCGAGCAGGAGCCAGTTGGTGTCGGATTTATCGGAGCGGACGTCGAGGTAGGCTAAAGGGGGAGGGTTAGTTGGGTTTGGAGGAGTGCAATGAAAGGGAGCTATTCAAGGATGAAGAACAAGCGTTTCCGTGTATGGGCTCGTTGTGTACCCCAGAAATGTACGAGAAACAAAGCGTAGATGTCGAAATACCGCACACACCTTCGTCGATCTTGGGGTCGGATAGGTCAGCCATTTTGTCTACGACAAAGATATACGAGTCAAGGAGAGAAAGAGGAAAGTAAAGAAGGAAAAAGGAGAGAAGCAGTCGTGGGCGAGTGAAGTAGTGGATAAAGATGAGATTGATTTTGGGCGCAGATGCTGTGAGAGTATCGATCAATCACCGCTCCGAAATGGAAATTACACTGTGACTGCTCGCGTGACTGCTACTTTTTA